ATGTAAATAGTAGTTGACACCAAATTTGGTTACAACACTATTCGTGCTCTATAATAGTGCAAGGATTAGTGTTGCATTGGAGCAAGAAAACACCATTTCTTGCACCAAATTTGGATTTGGTGCAAGAAATGGTGCATCCTTAGAGATGGTCTTACTATCGGCTAACTCTGCCCGCCAATGCTTGGGCAGATTGAATGAAATCAGCTAGTGTTTTTTTGACTCTGTTGGGATTTGAACTTGAGCTGAGATATTTTGTCTTTTGGGTACTGTTCAGACTCCCTGTGACCTATAGGTCATGGGTTCGAACCGTGGAATCAGGTACTGATGCTTAGCTTGCATCATGTTAGGCTGCCTACATCGCACTTTTTTGGGTGCGACTCTTCCCTAGACCTGCGTGAACGCAGGATGCTTCGTGCACCGCACCCCCCTTAAGTGGAATGAAAATAAGGAGCTGTGTGTGCTACTGTGAGACTATAAATTGAACGTCGCATTCAGCTGATTGCCATATGATGTTGTCTATTGTGCAAGTTGCGATGTCATCCCTGAAATGTTGTGTAACGTCTAATATACAATCTGCTGAACACCAGCTCATTCATGTGCTAGAAGTAGGAAGTGGGGTTTGAAAAATGTTGTGTTACTTGACACGGCCAAATTCAGGGCTTCAAAATCTTTTAGAGATACCTGTCCATTGAAGTAGCTGATTGTATTGCCATGCTTATGTGGATACTGTTGAAATAAGAGAATAGTTGTAGGTTCCATTCTTTAAGATGATTACCTGTAGATCGGACTTCTGAATTTCTATGCTTTAAATTTTGATTCAAATTTCATCCTGGATAATAGGTGGACATACTTGCAGGGTAAAAAAGGTGTTTGGATCAAGTTACCTATTGAGCTTGTAACGCTTGTTGAACCTGCTGTTAAGGTAAGTTTGTTGCTTAAATTATATGGGTGCCATCTCAATTTTTGATTCAATTTTCCTGCTGTTTTTCAGGAAGGATTTTATTACCACCACGCCGAACCAAAATACTTGATGCTTGTGAATTGGCTCCCTGCAACTGCTAACACTATTCCAGCAAATGCGACGCATAGAGTTGGTATTGGTGCTTTTGTCTTGAATGAAAGGAATGAGGTATATTCTGGTGCTACTTGTCACACCTCCTTTTTACCCACCCGAAGGGGTATAAGAGAGTTTTTCCAATCAAAGTGACATTATTCGAAATGAAATTATTTTATTTATTTTTCAGAGTCGCCACTTGGAATAATTTATTTGGTGTCCCAAGTCACCGGTTTATCCCAAATCGAGAAAATTTTCGACTTTATTTAAAAGTCTGCGAACCAGAAATTCTAGATAAGGAATTCTGTTAACCCGGGAGAAGGTGTTAGGCATTCCCGAGTTCCGTGGTTCTAGCACGGTCGCTTAGCAATTTATACTTGGCTTAAATTATTTAACTACTCATTTTAAAACATATGTGCATTTACCTTTTTATCGCTTTTAATCACTTGATTTATTCATAATTAAGGAATTATTTTTAAAACGAGTCACGCGTACGTGTACTCTTTTGTTTGGCGCGTCAAGAATCATGTCACGCGTACGTATCCACAACTAATCACGCTTTATTATTATTAAGAAAGTTTAGTCGGAGTTGCGCGAACGCATACTCCGATTTTGTTTTTTTAAGATCGTAATTATGTCACGCGAACGTGTACACAACCACGATGGTATAATAAACGTGCCTAAAGCAAGCTACGAATATTCATTTAGAAACAATAATTATATCACGCGAACGTGTACATAATCACGGTAATAAATTCAAAATGTGCCTAAAGGTTCGTCTACCCGGGTGGGGTCGGCCTAAACATACTCCTAACGATGTAATAATAAAAGGGAGAATAAATAAATAATAAATAAATGAAACTCAAAGAAAATTCGTTACGATGGCTCACTCAATTTGAAAGAACATATGTCTGCTTGAACTCAACCATGTGAATATTCCTCCAATGCATGTGACTTGAAATTAATAGAGAATTTTGAAGTGCTAGTTAAACTCCAACTTCAAAACAGTGACTTGCTGAATTTCATTATACTCAAGAAAAACCTTTGTAGGATTAATATAAATACTTTTATACTCATTTCGTACTGATAATGGATGAAGGAAACAAGCAATACTGTTTAATTTTAAGAGCACACCTCAAATAGTGAAACAGATTCATCGTAATGGTTCTATCGCAACATGAAATCAGATCAAATTTACACTCATTTGAACACTAGCAAATTCTAATAGCAGAAGTTGGAGAAGAAACAGCCAACCACAATTATATAAAAAAAAAAACTAAACGATAAGAAATCAACAAACATACAAATTACATGAAAAAATAGAAAAGGAATAAAGGAAGGAACCTGTAAGGCAGATTTCTTTAGTATATGAAAAAACAAAGTTTCTGAAGCAGCTTCACCAAAATAAAGATCCGAACGAACAAAACAACAGGGAGGCAAATCACAAACCGCGCACAAAACTCAGGTTGGAATCCGCTTGACACGACGGAACTGCAAACGGACTTCGAACGCCAAATTCACCTCAAATCAACTAAATTCCATCTCCTTTATGAGACTCCAATTTTATCTCTCAAACAAAATGTCCAAGAAACAAAGTTCTCTGAAATTTCAATTCCTGCCCCTCTTGTTCGTTCCGGTGAGGCTGAGAGATTTCTTTTTTTTGGTCTAGGTATTTTTGTTCTTTTTTTTTTTCGTGTGTGAAGAAGAAAGGTGTTGAATAGTTTTTCCGATTTTGTTTTTTTGTATATCTCTCTCCCCCATTAAAGCAGATTATGCTTTTACTTATATAGATGCTAATGAGATCATGTGCATGTTTTGTGTGTGGGGTGAGAGACGTGAAAGTTAGGGAGTGTGGGTGAGGAACGTGCGAGTGTGTGTGTGCGCAATGTGAGTGCAAGGCGTGAAAGGTGGGGGAGTTAGAAAGTATTGTATACTTTCAGATTTACTCTTCTTATTCTTTTTCGTTAGATTTTTTTAAACTTTTTACTAAGTTGAAAAATAAATAAATAAAGGTAAAATACACACACACATATATACACACACATACCAACTTAACTTTTAGACTAAAAATTTTTTGTATAAATAAATAAAAAATCCAATATTTACACTATTGTTTATATTGTACTAAGAAAATACTATAGCTTATATATAAATAATTCATACTCTAAGAATGTGAGTTTTTTTTGTATTTTTTTTTTCTTTTAATAAAAGCTATTAAGAGTAAGATAAACGTCTGGAAAGAGGCCGATCTTTATAATACATTATGAGAAGAACAATTACACGCTCCTCATTCACGGAGGGCACATGAAATGCAGTTTTTTTTGTTGTTGTGGGGATGAGATTGATGGACCATTTTGGTCATTATGCACCTCAAAGTACATGATTATATGTGTTTATTTCATTAATTGATTGCATAGATAATATTACTACTTTAAAAAGAGAGCACAAATGACGATCAGCAAAATATTTTCTTTCTCTTGATGGTTTTCCTTCTTGTAGTGGACAAGAAAACGGGATAACATAAAATCAATATTTTCTTTCTCTTGATGGTTACACGGCTTTTTTTCTACTTATTTAGGAAACAAAAGGAAGACATGGATTATTTTCTTGGGCCCTGACTATTAGGTGACCTGCAGCAGGAAAGTTTAGCATAGTGTCATTGTTATTTGGCAAGTTTACAAGATGTTCATGTTTGATCAAGATTTCTATCCAACGTTAGAGTTATCATGGACAATGTTATGGAATTATTTGGGCAGAATAACGTCATAAAGGGGAAAATAGTTTAGAGGTAGGTACGTGAAGGTGTTTAACAAAGCCTCTGGCGTGGAAATGGTTCTGGAGTTCGTGGGAGAAAAAAACAGCAATATGGAGGAGGCTGATTCCCTGATAAAGATCAGCAAATGGAGGAGGTTCGATCCATACCAATCAGAGGCGGGGCTAGGATTTGAAGCTTATGGATTCAGAATTCTAATCCTTTTAACTCATTGGATTCTAAATTAATAATTTGTACATATTCAATAAATTTTTAAAGATATTATAGTACATATTAGTTATTGAAGCACTTAAATTAATAGTTCTCTTGAAAAATCTTAGGTGCTAGTTGTCCAAGAAAAGAATGGCCGATTCCATGGAACCGGTATGTGGAAGTTTCCTACAGGAGTACTTGATGAGGTATATCTGAATTATAACTTCTATGCCGTATGAGAATGTTAAAGTAACTGAATAGATAAACATAAAAATAAACAAAAACTCGCGCTGCACGAATATTATCAATCATGTCGATTTTCATCCACAGGGTGAGGATATATGTGATGCAGCTGTCCGAGAAGTAAAAGAAGAGACAGGGGTGAGTAAAAATTCCGATTTCATTTTTACCTTGTTTTTAAATAAAATTTGTTATTCCATATGCTAAGTTTGATTCTATATTTAGTAACCACAATCACTTGATTTGTATTGATACAGGTTAATGCAAAGTTGGTAGAAATATTGGCATTCAGGTTGTCTTTCACATAAAAGTTGTTTAAGTTTCTGTTATATTTTTAATGTCTTCTACATATGAACATGAAACCTTTGCTCTCTCCATACAATGTTTGTTCTGTTTACCTTATTGCATTTCACACTGTAAGATAGTTTGTGTACTAAAGATGACTTTATTAAATTGCAGACAGAGCCATAAGTCATTTTTTGACAAGTCAGATTTGATGTTTGTCTGCATGCTAAAGCCTCTCTCCTTTGATATCCAGAAGCAGGATGCGGAGATAGTCGCTGCTCAGGTACGCGGGTATCCAACACGGGTTGGATCTAGGGGTCAGATCCTTCATGATTTAAATTCCAAGATTTAGAGTTACGGATCCAAGGATTCTGCTATATCAAAAAATAGATCTATAGAAATATGCCTAAATTATGAGACATTATGTGAAAAACTTATATGTAGCTTGTGCAGTGCCGTAAAACTCAATTTTTATGAAGCTGTACGCAGCCATCTAGAAATCTACAATAGCTTTTGTCTAGAGAAATCGAAAGACCAAATCTTATCTCTAATGTGGTCAAAGTACCTAATGTTGATGTCATGTCGTGGTCACACCCATACTAGTGTCGGTGTCGTGTCGACACGGGTGCGGTACCACAAGTGAAAAGTCTGCGCAACTTAGTGAACTAGTGAGACCGTTTGTCCATATATAGTATTTGGAATATATGGGGAAAAAAAATCAAATAAGAGTTTGCTTTGCAATAAGGTCCATTATTTCAATTTGAACTTGAAATACAGGATTTGAAGTTTGAAAAGCTGGTTTAAGGAGTATTTCAAGTGAAATAATGGTTTCAACTCTCAAAACTTCAACTCTTTCCAAGTGAAATTCATGTTCAACCACAACTGAACATCCAAAATCCTCTTTTTCAACTTCAACTTGAAATACTATTTTTTCAAGCTTAATTCAAATATTGTCCAAAAGCCAACCAGCACTTAAGGGTGTGGTCTAGCGGTCATTAAGTGGGTGAAACCATAGGAGACCAGGGCTCGAGTTCCAGTATAGATTAAAAAACATTAGGTGACTTCTTTCCATCTATCGAAGCCAAGTAAGTATTGTGGTACGATATAGAGGTTCCAGATGGAATAGTTTAAGGTGCGTTCGAACTGACCTAGATACCACGTTAAATAAATATAAATTAAAAAAAAGAGAAAGAAATTATGTGCAAACTTTGATTACAGACAAAGTTCAAATGCATGAAATAAGCAGTTGTTAGCTTCATGCTCCAAGCTCATGTTCTTCTTTATACTTGCAGTGGATGCCATTTGAACAATATGCAGCTCAGCCATTTGTCCAAAGCCATGAGCTTCTCAAGTACATTTCTAACATATGCTCGGCGAAGATAGAGGGCAGGTATACTGGATTCTCATCAGTTCCTACAGTGACCAGTTTTTCTCAGAACAAGACCCACTTGTACATGAACAACAAGGTCAGAACAATTGGTAGCGACGACCAGTAGTGGAGTCAGAATTTTTACCAAAGGGATTCAGAATATTAAAGAGTAAACACACGAACATGGCAAGGGGATTCAATATCTGCTATTTATGCATAAAAACTAATTTTAACCTTATATATACAGTGCAATATCGACGAAGGGGTTGAACCTGCGATATTTTCCAATGGATGTGAAATAGGAATCTCGTCCACTATCTGAGGATTTTCAACGACCAGTAATTTGAGTTGGGTTTTTGTAGACAATCCACTTTCGCTAAAGAGAGAATTGTAAGTCTCCTTACTCATTTTATTACGTTGGTATTAGAGCCACGGGCTTATTTTCTAGTCACGTAAATTATTTTTGCCAGTGTATGAATTCTAATTTTTTTATATGTTAAACCCGTATCTTGCTTGCATTCTTTTATGCTCGAAACAATCTGTTTTATGCGTGAAACCTTGGGAATTTTAACAGACTTCGTTGCGAGCTTTCCGATGATATATAGAACATGTTTTAAATTCTTGAATTTTATGTGTTTTAAACAAGTATCAATTCTCTATGTTTTATGTAATTTTTGTGCAAATCGTACCGGGTAATCTATTACCCATATGTTTTTTTAGAAAAACTGTATAATCACTTGTGATTAAGATAGAAAAATTAGGTTGGCTTTTAAAGAAAATCCGTTAGGGTTTGCTTAAAATAAAACTAATCAACTTTTGACCATATCGATCAACTTTTGAATGTCTTTCTTCGAATTAGTTATGTAAATAAGTCTTAGAATACGTTTAAGACTTTAATCAATGTTTTAAACGAATAATTGTAGCCGAAGAATACTATTTTTGGCCAAAATCTTGGGCAAACTGGCCATCCCAAATACTCCACTATTTTGATGATTTTTGGAAATTTTGTTGAAAATTTCTTGAGCAATAGGCGCTTGAGATCAATCCTAAAACACATTTGGAGTAAAACTATGTGCTTTAATTGAATAAAATAGTCAAAAGTAGAGAAAATTTGAATTCGGATCGTGGTAAAAATTGTTTTCAGAACCTATGTCATCCCTAAATTAGGAAAAAAGAGTGGTGGTAGGACTACGGTTGTCAAATTAGGGTAATAAGTTGCCTAATGAGCAACAAGTTCATGCAATTATTCATTTTTTGCTTAAAAGTTAGGAGCATATTTGAATGCATCTGACACATACAAGTGTAATTGTGCCTTTGATTACGTGAGGCAACATCTAGGATTAGAAGAAGAGCGGCATGAGGCTGCCTAAGAAGGTGCAAAAGTGTCAAAATCCCATCGAACTTGTACCAAAGCCCTGCTAGGCAAGCCATCAATAAAAAAGCAAAAACAAGCTTAACTAATGGTATTGAATAGTTTTATCGGCGGAATAACCATAAATAACTAAAATCAAATGCAACATTACAACTAAAACCATCGAGTTATATAGAACATGTCTGAATCAAATATTATATTGTTCGAAAGGCTAAACCGTCTTAACATGAAATAGGAAAAAGGGACTTCAAGGCCTGCGCACGAAAAAATAATGCTACCTCGAGATATTCAACTAATCCGGATCTAGCTCACAGGCAACTATCACGATTAGTGATACCTATATCTACACATAAAGTGTAGAGTGTAGTATAAGTACAATCGACCCAATATACTCAATAAGTACCAAGCTTAACACCGGGCTGAAAGTAGTGACGTGTTTGGCAAAGTCCTGTTCTTACTTTTCACAATCAACAATAGCAATAATAGCAGGATAATAGCATATAAAAGAAAACAACTCAAATAATAATATGCGCATCTTAACACACTAGGAGAGCAATAGACATTCTTTTTATATATAAGAGTCAAGGAAACAACTTCCACATAATTCACTTAGATAGGTGTAACTACACGTCCGGTCATTTTTAGAAATTATGCCCCAATTCCCTATTAAATACTTCCCCAAAGTTCATTTCTGCTATTTTGGTTTGCCGGAACGTTCGGTGTTGGGCTTCGAAGAGTTTTGGGGCACTTAGTCCCTAAATGAGAGCTTACGTGTTGGAAAGTTGTCCGTAGTCTGAATGGTGTAAAGACGACATCGGAATGGAAATCAGATGGTTCTGTTAGCTCCGTTAGATGATTTCGGGGTTGGGAGCGTGTTCGGAATATATTTTTGAGGTCTGTAGCTAATTTAGGCTTGAAATGCCGAAGTTTGAATTTTTAAAGTTTTCGGTCCGATAGTGAGATTTTGATCCGAGGGTCGGAATGGAATTTCGGAAGTTGTAGTAGCTCCGTCATGTCATCTGGGACGTGTGTGCAAAATTTTAGGTCATTCGGACGTGTTTTAGTTAGGTTTTTGATCGAAAGCGTAGTTTGAAGAAGATGGAGTTCTTAGGCTTAAATCTTTTATTAATTCGGGTTTTCGGTGTTGTTTAAAGTGTTTTAAGGATTGGTACAAGATTGAATAGGGTATTTGGTGGTATTGGTGCTTTAGGTTGAGGTCCCGGGGGCCTCGGGATGATTTCGGATGGTTGACGGAAGAATTTTGGAAGTTGGAAGATATCAGATTTTTGCTAATTCTGGTATTTTCGCATCTGCAGTTTGGGAACCGCAGATGCGGTACCGCATATGCGGCTAAGTAGACCGCATAAGCGGTTTTTGTTTGGTGCAGTAGGCTCCGCAGATGCGGTGGATTTTTCGCAGAAGTAGAACTGCATCTACGAGTGAAAGACCGTAGAAGCGAAAATTTGGCCTGTAGTGAAAGCCGCAGAAGCGGCACGTGTTCCAGAAGCGGGACCGCAGATGCGGTCCCTGGACCGCAGAAGCGAAAAATGCTGGACAGAATGTTTTAAGTTCTCAAAATGGGACTTCGTCCCATTTTCCATTTTTACAAATTTGGAGCTTGGGGAGAGGCGATTTTCGGGAGATTTTTAAGAGAAACAACGAGGTAAGTGTTCTTAACTTAATTTTGGTTCAATTGCTCGAATATATTACAAGTTTTGGCATTAAATCTGTGAATTTAGCGGGAAAAAGTTTAGAAACCCTCTCGGATAGATTTGAGGATTTGAGGGTCGAAAAGTTATGGGATTTGGATAATTTTTGTATGGTTAGACTCGTGAGAGCGCGAAGTTTCTGGAAATATAAATTTCACCT